AGCGTCGATTTGGTCAATCGGAATCCACTTCGAGCCGAAGTGGGCTTGTCCCGAGGCAGAGATAAAGAGAGGGAGAGAGAGAGAGAGAGGGAAAAAAAGAGAGAGAGAGAGAGAGACAGGTCGGCTACACGCAAGAGAGACCCTGAGTTAAGAGTGACATTTGGCGCGCGGCTTTCTGGGGGGCCGCGGGAGGCGGAATACAAGCGCACGAGACGCTGTCATCGTACCACGTTCGGCGATCGGGGGGCCCCACTGGGCCCGCACCAAAGGCCACTCCGGCGAAAGGTCACTCCTACGCGTCGTCGAACAGGGGGCGCCGCCAGGGGGGGGAGGGAAACATCGAGCCCCAAGCGCCGAGTCGTCGCCAATAGGGGCCTGGACGCCCTCGCCCGCCCAGAACCGCGCGGATATCGCCGGGCGATACTGCCTACGGCAGGCTCGTGTCTTGCCGGCTTCGGGGCTGGTTTCTGACACCACGGGGATCGTTCAACCCTGAAGGATCGGCCGTTTCCGAAACATCCGACCGATCCCAGCGGCGCTCAACGTTGAATGCCGCCGGCGGGATCGCCGCCGGTCGACACGACGCGAACCTACCGTACTCCCCAGACCTCTCCCAGAGAGCGTTCTGTCCAGCATTCTGGGGAGAAGCGGGCCATGGCGACGAGGGCTCTCTCCAGGATGAGCAGCGGCATCGGTACCTCTCCCCCCTCTGAGTGCGGCGCCGTGTTTTTCCCCACATGCTTCCTGGGGTTCTGGTTTTCTTCCCTGCCGCGCCGCACCCTCGTCTCACCCGCACACCTCCCTCTCCGTCTCTCTCTCTCTCTCTCTCACACACCTCACTCTTCCCCTCCTCCTCACAGCACTGCTCAGCACAGCTCAGCTCAGCTCAGCTCAGCACGGCACAGCCGAGCACAACTCAGCTCAGCTCAACTCAGCACAACACAGCACAGCACAGCACAGCACAGCACAGCACGGCACAGCTCACCGCACAGCAGCACAGCACAGCACAGCACAGCATAGCACACAGGGCATTCCTTCGTCGCCACAGGGGGTGCGCTGGGGGTGGGGGCCCTATGCGCTGCAGGCCCCCAGGGCGTGGCAGGCGTGGCATTTCCTCGGCGCCGCAGGTGGTGCGCTGGGGGTGGGGGCCCTATGCGTTGCAGGCTCGCAGGGCGTGGCAGGCGTGGCATTTCCTCGGCGCCACAGGGGGTGCGCTGGGGGTGGGGGCCCTATGCGCTGCAGGCTCCCAGGGCGTGGCAGGCGTGGCATTTCCTCGACGCCACAAGGGGCGCGCTGGGGGTGGGGGCCCTATGCGTTGCAGGCTGCCAGGGCGTGGCAGGCGTGGCATTCCTCGCCGCACGGGGGGTGCGCTGAGGGTTGAGGGCCCTATGCGTTGCAGGCTCCCAGGGCGTGGCAGGCGTGGCATTTCCTCGACGCCACGGGGTGCGCTGGGAGGTAGGAGGAGGAGGAGGAGGAGGAGGAGGAGGAGGAGGAGGAGGAGGAGGAGGAGGAGGAGGAGGAGGGAGGAGGACGAGGAGGAGGAGGACGGGGAGGTGGGGCAGCAGCAGCGGCAGCAGCAGCAGCAGCAGCTGCAGCAGCAGACGCAGCAGCAGCAGCAGAAGCAGCAGCAGCAGAAGCAGCAGCAGGAGGACACCGAGGAGGAGAAGGAGCAGCAGCAGCAGAAGCACCGATGGTACACATGGGAAATAAAATAAGTATGTGGGGTTCCTCGGTAGCGTAATTTGTCGCTGCGTGGCTCCCCGGACGTCTCGACTCATTCCCCAGGACCAGCATTCCGTGTTGCGTCGTTTTTCGACGGTCTCGGGGCCCGGTGAGGGCCCGCGGAAGCCGAAGATTGCCCAAAGCCCTCCGTGGACTCTTCGCGGCGCGCGGAGGTCTGGGCACGCGCAGGACGAGCAGTGGCATCTGTGTCTCTGCCACCCCGAAGCCTCGAACACTCGGAGTGGGTTTTCTCCGAGGCGGGCCGGCCCCCGCGCGGGGGGAGAAGGACGAAGAGGAGGAGGAGGAGGAGGAGGAGGAGGAGGAGGAGAAAGAGGAGGAGGAGGAGGAGGAGGACCAATGCAAACCTAAGACGCACCAGCGATGTGGGAATACACCCTTCCTCCGAGCTCCTTCTTTATTAGGTCCCTACAAAGGCTCATTCCCACTAAAGGAATTGCCCCGTTGGGGGACAAGCGTGTAAAAATCCTGAAGCATGCCCAAAGACAACTCTCAGGACTTCAGCGCCACGAGTTAACCTGAGTGTGAGGTCTTGGCGATCCTGACTCGTGCCACAGCACCACTCCTGGGACCTCAACGAAGCGTATCAGCGTAACTGTTGCGTTCTGGCAATCATGCATCGGTTCAACACCATTTCTGGTACGATAGCCGAGTGGATTAATGAAACGCATGCTAAGTTTTAAAGCGCATGTGCGCGGCGCTCACGCGAGAGAGACATTTCGAAAACGAGCCGCCCCCAATCCATGAAGCTTTTGCAAAT